ACAAGGTTATCGTTCGGGGCATATCTGGCCAGCCCCTAGAGCGCTATTTTACTGGGCCTCTGGCCTGCTCTTGGCTTGGAGACTTCCACTTCTGTCACTCTTTCCTCATAATCCCTGAAACTCTAGTGCCCCTGCAGGGACAGGATTTACTATCTCAACTAAAGGCTCAAATTCTACTCCCCCCAGACAACTATCTCTGCTGCCCCCTTCTTCAGGAACAAGTAGATCCCACAGTGTGGACTGATGGAATGACTGTAGGGTGAGCCAAAATGGCCCTCCCAATTCAAATAAAACTCAAAGATCCCTCACAGTTTCCACATAAAAAACAGTATCCCCTCAAGCCTGAGGGACAAAGGAATTTAAAAAAACAAGGGCTACTAATTAGTTGCTCCAGCCCCTACAATATCCCTATTCTTGCTGCCTGTAAGGGGCCAAACAAATGGAGGTTGGCTCATTAATGAAGCAGTCATTCCCCTCCACCCAACTGTTCCCCATCCCCATACTCTATGGGCTCAAATACCCTCAAAAGCCCAATGTTACTCTTTACTAGATCTAAAGGATGCTTTCTTTTGCATTCCTCTGTATCCTGACAGTCAGCCTCTATTTGCCTTTGAAGACTCCACTAACCCTTCACAATAACTAACTTGGACAGTTCTGCTGCAAGGGTTTAGAAACAGCCCTCATTTTTTTAGACAGGCCCTAACCAGAGACTTATTAGATTGGCACTACACAGAGGCCACCCTCTTTAAAATGTTGACGACTTACTTCTGTGTGGAGCCACAGAGTCCCTCATCTCCAGGGTAACTGAATCCCTTTTAACTTTCTGGCTTCCCAGGAATACAAAGTCTCTAAGGAAAAGGCTCAATTATGCTTCCCTCAAGTCACCTACCTAGGTGTGGGCTTAAAGGGACAGACTCGCTCCCTGAGTCATGAGCTAATCAACCCAATCCTCTGTTTCCCACTCCCACATATCATAAAGCAATTTAGCGCTTTCTTGGGAGTTACAGGATTTTGCAGAATCTGGATCCCTAGATATGCAGCCCTTGCCAGACCACTTTTTATGCTCCTACTAATATTCCTATTTGGGTCTTGCATAATAAATGCTCTCTCCAGATTCCTATCTCAACAGGTCCAATGAATCAAAGTCCAGCTCTTAGTCAAGGAATACTCACCTCTGGCTACACATGAGCCCTCTATCCCGTTCTATCTAGGGCCCCTGGAGAATACACAGGTCAACCCCTGAGACAAGTACCACCTCTCCTATTCCCCGTTGTCCCACTGTCAGCATGAAGCAGGTAGATGAGTCATCGCCCCTCTCCCCAACAGCAGTTGAGTGCTTGTCTCAGACAGGGGACTTGTTGGGTCTGGAGACCTAAAGCAGATGAGTGAGAATCCCATCTCCCCCCATGGAGAGCACTATGATTCCTACATCCTGAAGAGGAGATACAGGGTCTGATAGATCTGCCACAGGGCTGATGAGCAAAATGCTCTCAAGATTGTTTCCCCTCGCCCAATAAGGGGCAAACAGACCAGTTCACCTAAGAAAGCCGCGAATCCAAGGCCAATGAAAAGAGACCACAAAACCTACAGTTAAAATGTCTATAAAAGACCCAGCCTTCACCTGAGCAGCGAGCTACCGGTTTCCAGGCTCTGCTGCATGCTCTAGCTGTAGCCTTTCCTTTCTCTCTAATAAATCCTACTTTATATACCGGCTTTGGCTCATCAATCAGCTGCTTCACAAGCCAGTTCTCTGGCCTGTGAAGGCAAGGATCCTCAACACTGGCCTGCAGCACAGAACATGACCAAAACTTTACCTAGGTTCCTCTGAATCCTCTACTTGACTAGGCCCAAACCTTGGCTTCCCTCTTTGTCCTTGGTGAATCCCATCAAATCAAGGATCCTGCTAAGCAGGGCACTGGTGGCTCACACCTAAAATCCATCTACTTGTGAAGCTGACATTGTTAGAGGCCACCTAGAGCAAACAGTCTGAGACCTCCCCCATCTCCAAAATAACCAGAGCAAAATGGACTGCAGATGTGGCTTAAGCAGGAGAGCACTTGTTTTTCAAGTTCAAACCTGAGTTGCACCAAAAAGAAAAAAAAGAAAAGATAAGCCCCTATCTCAAAAATAACCAGAGGAAAAAAGGCTGGAGGGATGACTCAAGCAGTTCAGCCCTTGCCTAGCAAGTGCAAAGCCCTGAGTTCAAACCCCAGGATACACACACAAAAAAATTATAAATCACTTGTTATATTTTGCATAAATTTAAGTACATGTGTTTGACTTATAATATTAGCAACATAATAAAAGTTATTAACTAAAGAGCAATGAGAATAGAGAATTTCCAGTCAGGAATTTTGGGAGTTGTTTGAGGAGGCTCAAAGAAGCAAAGCAAAAAGGTTAACTTGTCCAGGGCAGCCTAGAACAGTTGACACAGATATATAGTTCACAATTGTATGTTACTAATTTAGCAATTTGATCAGTATTATCTGCCTCAAGTGTCGTCTTCCCACAACAACACTATCCCACTCCCCCCCAAAAAAAAGAAGAAAGAAAGAAAGAGGAAAAGTTAAGAATCTTGTTAACAAAAATCCCCATCTTGTGTCCTTGGCTTGCCTTCAGCAATAACCCTATCAAGTCAGAAACCCTTTATCCTTGACATTTCCTCTTGGCAATTTTCTATCCATTGACTCCCACCTTGTTCCTTGGTTATAAGTCTCTGCTTGTCTTTACAAGAGTTGGAGTTGAGTCCAATCTCTCTCCCCTATTGCAAGACCTTGTTGCAGCATTCTCTACACCTACTGCATGCCATCGCCACCTGGAATAAAATCTGCCTTACCATCTTTAACAAGTGTTTATTCGTCATTTTTTCCTGTAACACATGTTAATAAAATACAATCTGGGATACAAAGATGAAACAGTATATAGTAAATACTGCACATATAATAGGGATAAACAAAAGTCTGGAGTAAAACTAACTTTTATGCCACCCTGTATAATTATCCTTATCTCAACTAGCAAAAACCCTTAGTCCTTGCTAATATAGCTTATACTCTCTCTTCAACAAAATTAGAGATAAAGCAAAATAGTTTCTGCCTGGTAGTGAGGGGTAGGGGGGACAAGGGAGGGGGCAGGGTAGGTAAGGGAAGGGTGGGGGAGGGGGGAGAAATGACTCAAACATTGTATGCACATATGAATAAAAGAAAAAATAAAAATAAAATAAAAATAAAAAATGAAAAAATAAAAAAACTAACTTTATGACAAAATTCAAATATGTTCATAACTGTTAACCAAACAGCAAGCTATTTTTAGAAGATAAAACTGAAGCTTTGCAAGACAAACTAACCAATGTACAATGTAAGGCTATTTAGAATTGGCACAACGAATATATGCTAATAAAAATGAAAAAAAAACAAACCCTGAAGCCTCAACTAATTTAATTGGAACTGAAGGGAGGCATTACATACTCTTATATTAGACAGGGAATCTTAAAGTTTTTAGGGAGTAGTTATGTGAAAACACATTACTTTGTAGATACTTGAAATGTAAAGCTGGCTATTTATTAAGTCTTTCTTGCTAATGATTCTCTTTATTCTAGTTCCTTATCAGTGAGTTTACAGCTCCCTCACCAGAGGTTTGGTTTTCTATTATCTCTATGCTAAGCCTTCCTCTTCTGTGAATTCCCTGAGGACTAAGGTTCTAAACCTTTTCTTTAAAAACAAAAAACAGAAAATCAAACCAAAGGAAAAAAAAATAACAAAATGTTCATTTATGTTTTCCCTTCTTCCTTGGTTTTTCCTTAGCTTGTTACCACTTTGAAAAACAAATTTTTGTTTTGCAAGATCCTCTAAAGTTATCACAATGAGTATTTTCACCTCTCCACATCCTTAAATTTCCTAAATTAGTAGGAAAATTATATTTCATTTTATTTTAATAACTAAAGTATTATCTACTCTCAAAATTATTTCTAGTAAGACTTGCAGTTATTTCTGAAAAGTCTCAATCTTCATCCTTTTCTATATCCATGTGGCTACTTATTTCCTCCCAGTAAGAGCAAATCTTTCTGAGGAATGAAATTAATTTTGTTCAAAGTAAGTTGTCACCACCCTCTCTTCAATTGCTTATCCTGGTATTGTAAGAGATGCTCAAATTGCTTTTGCTGAAAAGCATGTACTCCTTACTCAGGCCTACAAATTAACTAAAAGCAGGAGAACAGCATGGCATCTGTCCTCCATTTTTATATTTGTCTTTGCTTTGAGCCAGTCTCACTGCAATCACCTTACAACCTCCTTGGAATGAAGGAAGGACAGGAATGACAGATAACATCTTCAAAACAAGGGACAGAAATTACGCCCAACAGACGACTTTCCTCAGGATGGACTACCTGCCAGTTGACAATAAACCCAGCACAACTCCAGAACCTCCTCCAGAACAAGGACTGGGATAACAACCAACAAGACACACCTGTGTCATTGAACTTTTTAACTATGCATATCTTTGGTCTCCTGCCTCCAGTTTTTTGGTCTACTTAAATCTGTAACTCATGTCTGTACCCTGAAGATGGCTGAGGATGAGCTGAGTATTTACTCTGCTTCTTCCCTCGGCATGTCCCGAGTCGTAATAAATCTCTTTTTCTCTGCCTTCAACATGCCTCTTTGTTTGGCATTTAGGGGGAGAGTAGCTGGACCTGGCATATGGAATCTCAGGAGTTTGGACCTTGGGTCCAAAACTCCGGTTTCAGTATCTTTTTCTGTTTCAGTTATAGGCAACTATATGAGTAAAACAATGACATTTTCTTTTCCTTACTCTGTGAAAACAAACAAGTCAGGAAATACGGTAAAAATATTCATTTTTACAGTATGCCCTAGAAATAAGAGTTGTCCAGTTTATGCAATGGATGTTACAGTTAAGAACTACTTAATTATAAAAGGACCTATTAAAAGTCTATTTCCCATTTCATAAAACATTATACACATTAAAAAGGAGAAGATTCAGGGGAATACCTGATAATCCGATGGTATAACAGGCCCGCCTGAGTTTGTGCCCGAAGGCCCTAGCCGGGGCTTCTTGTTTGGAGGCACCTGATTCAGGCCAGAGTCCTGGCTGTGTTGCAGTGCTGCTCCAGCACCCACACCACCTGCAGCCCCTCCTGTAGTCCCATTGGTCTGAGTGCTGTTCTGCTGTGGTGGGGGGGCCTGTGGAGGGGCTGCTGCCTGCTGTGGAGGGGCTGTGGGCTGCTGATGCTGGTTCTGCTGCTGTTGCTGATTTTTTTGTGGGGGAAAAAAAAACAAGCTTGGTACGAAACTACATTAATGGGAAATTTCTTTCATTACTTGATATGTACATGCAACTGCTGACTCACCTGTGGCATAACCTGTGTGGGTCACTGAATGACTGAATGACTAGAGAATGAATGGGACAGCCAGAGAACCAAGGGTCAACATAATGGTCTCTGAACAGAGTGTACTCTCAGAATTTCATCATAGACACTACACTGAAGGCTATAGGCACCTCAGAAATAGTGTTACACTCGTTAAAACAGCTCTAAGAAGTCTTCTCAATCATGATTTTGGAAAAGGAGAGCAGTATGGGGAGAGGAATCATATATCCAGAGTGGAGACAGGAGATAGAATGTTTGAAGCCAGCCTGGGCTACACAGTAAGTTTCAGGTCAATGTGGACCCTGTCTCAAAAACAAAATGAAAAGTAAAATCCAACCAACCAACCCCAAAAGAATAGTCATGTCTGTAAAAGCCAGCCTGCAGAACATGATGGTAATGACACTGAACAAACATTCCTAGCAAGAACTGTGAATCAGGGACTAGAATGGGCTATTAGACAAGTCAGGAAGTTCAATTATCTGTAAGATTATGTTTCAAAATTCAGGGCACATTTATAATCCCCAAACTTCCACAAAAAACTAATAAACTCTCAATTAAATCAAAGGTGGATAAATGCATATGAATTATCAAATCATCTTTTTGCTTTCCTTACTCTCTGAAAGCCAAAGTGTACCATGAAGTTTATACCTTGTCACCTTTCTCTTCAGGTTCATCTTCATTAAGGAATTCTCTTTTGGGGTATGGAATCTGACAGCCAGCAAACACACTAAAAATCATTAAAAGGAAAAAAAAAGTCATGATCTTAAGATCTACAATTCTAAAAATTTTCCCTTTTCTCCCTTCCTCTCCCCTTGTACTTCTGACAACCCTTGTTTTGTGATGGGTATTTTCAAGATAGAGTCTTGTGAACTATTTGCCTGGGCCTACTTATTCATTCTTAACTCACTTCCTGCTCTTCACCTATGGCTAGTGTTGGCCTAATGCCTCCCAAAACAACCGAATTTGAAGAATAAGAACAATTTATAATATGAATTTTTACACTAACTGCTACTTTCAATTTCAAGGCATGACTTCTGCTAGCTAATTGGTATATAAGACAGAAGTTTCTCCACACCAAATTCATCAGCACTCAAACTGAATTTGTACTTGTTTCAACCAGAAAAGAAAATTTTCCCTCCAGAAAGAAATGTACTTCTAATATTATATTCTTACATTTATAAGCCCAAAGCACATGCGTGAAACAAGGATGAAGGAGAATAGGGAAAAGTTTTGCAGTGTTGCAGACATGCTCTAGAAGACAGAATTTTGTTTACCATTTCCTATTGGCTTGATTTAATCTCTGATCTGGCTGGCTGATATATAAAATCCCTCTGGTTGTCATCTTTAGCTTTCATCTGCAAAACTGATTAATGGTCATTCCTAAAAATACTTTTTTTCATTCACACCTCTCTACAAGTTAGCCTATTTCAAAATACAGGCCTTTTCAACAGTTGTCTCAGAGGCAGTCTTTTCTTGTTGGTATGGTTCCAAACTCATGGCTTTGCACTGGGTAGGTAGATGCTCTGCCATTTGAGCCAGGAGGCAGTTTTAATGAAGAAAGTAAACTACTTGGGTAAGCACATGCTTTCAGCCACCATCTGACATCCTTAACCTGGAGCAAAGGAGAAGGAAGGAGGATACATACTCTAATGTTGGCAAGGGGTCCTCCTGAAAATAGGGGTCCTGCAGAGCCTGCTCTGAGGTAATTCTCTTGGTTGGATCCATAGTAAGGAGTTTCTGAAGCTAGAGCAACACAGAAGAATTTGAAACACAAGAAAAGGTTGTTTACAAGTCAATGTCCTGAATCTGTATTAATGTCTAACAGGATTAACACCAAATATATTTTGTATAGCTCACTGCAAAATGAGTATGTTATACACACATATATTTGAACTTGATAGAAATCATCAGCATTAAAGCCTTTTAAAATTATTTTCTCTGCTAATAAATCATCTTAAAAAATAAAGTTATAACTGAACAGTGACATCTCAACAGAAAAATATTTCATTTCGCTCCAGCATCCACCAATTTCTTTTATTTCAAAAGGAGCAATAACTAGGACAATTCTGTAACAAAAAGAATTAGGTCAGCATTATGCGAAGATCCAATTTCTGTCTGAGAGAAAACTTACCAAGAGGAACACTTTGCTGTCAGGCTTGACCTTGTGTTTTTCCATGTACTTTATGAGGCTACTATTGGCATACCTGTAAGGACATGGACAATCATGTCAACGGGAACACTTACACAATTTGTAAAGGAAGTGTGTAAGCCATTGTTTTTCTAATTAAAAAGAAACGTATTATCAAATCCTGCAAATGTGTGAAGAAACAGGAATTGTTACTACATTTGAGAGTTTACACTGCTACAATCATTTAGGAAAATACTTATGTGTTAACCCTTAGAGTTGAAAATGAAATGTATCCTTCTACCTATCAACTCCATTCTAGGTACACAATAGAATTTAAGAGATTTACACATGCATGTTAGGATATATGGATAAGAATGATGTTCTTAGGAGCATTTTTGTAATAGTAAAACACTATAAACAACCAAATGTTCATATCTGAAGAAAATGGGTAAGTAAGTTGCTATATAGTCACAGAACGTTATACAATAGCAAAATGAATATATATGGCTGAGTGTGGAAAATGATGACATATCAAACTGAACAGTAATTTTTAGAGATACATGGTGTTAGTTTTATTGTCACTGTGACAAAACACCTGAGCAAAACAACTTAAGGAAAGGAAAGACTTGTTTTAGCTAATGGTTTCAGATTTCATTTCCACATGGTAGGAAGGGTGTGGTAAGCAGAGTAGCTCACATCATGGTGGCTAGGAAACAGAGAACATGCCTTCGAAAGTGTGTTTTCTCCTTTTCCCCCTTTTATTCCACCCGGGCCCCCAGCCTAAGGGATGATGTCACCCACATTCACCCACATTCACATATCTCTGGATATGTCCTCAAAGACATACTTACTAATCTCTGAGGCACTTCTCAACCCAGTCATGTTAACAGTCAAGATTAACCATACAACTATGTGCCAATGGCTCACACCTGCAATCCTAACTACTTAGAAGGCAGAGATCAGGAGGATCATGGTACAAAGCCAGCCTTGGCAAGTAGTTCGTGAGACTCTGCCTTGAAAAAACCCTTCACAAAAAAGGGTTCATAGAATGGCTCAAGGTGTAGGCCCTGAGTTCAAACTCCAGTACCACAAAAAAAAAAAGAGAGATTAACCATACATACATACATACATGTGTAGTAAAACTATAATGAAAAATTCGGGATGATAAATGTTAATTCAGAAATGCTCAATCTTCCCTCTTGGAGGGCTAAAAACTGAGAGTAGGGATCCAGGGTACTTCTGTAATCTTAGTAGTGTTCTAATTGTTTGATTGAGAGGTTAAGTGGAGGGATATTCACTTGATTATTCTAAACTATGTATTTTCATCACATATTCTTTCCTACAATTGAAATATTTCAAAATAAAGGTTTCAAAATAGGTAACAGATACATGTGTTTATAGTTAAAAAATACAGCCTACAGAAAATTAAAATCACTCACAATTCACTCAGCAACAAAGAATCACTTTGTCAAAGTGATTAATAATTTTCCTTTGACTTTTTTTCTATGCATATACATACACGATACAAACAGGAATTTTGTTGGTTTTCCTTTTATAAAATTGGAATCACAGTATAAAAACTGTTGTTAGGTTTTTTTCATTTAATATTGTTTCATAAACATTTCCCCTTGTAAAATGCTCTGTAAACTTACTGAGGGGTTGTACATAGAGTTGTTTCATAACAGCTACAAAATGCAGATACTTGCAGCTAACTCTGGTACACATGGCAAGGAGACAGTATTTCAGAGCAGATGAAAAATCACAGACCTACTACACCCTGATTCAGTCATCTGTCAGTTGTGTAATCTTGGGCAAGTTAGGTAACCTCTATAAAACCTTAGGTTCCTCATCTAAAAAGTGGGGATTATAATTAGACATACCCTGTAGATTTGTTTGCTATGAGGATCATATGAAAAACTATAGGTGAAGGGCTAAACACCATCCAGGCACACAGTAAATACTCAGCTAGTTGTAGCAGGCATGATTAACTTTCCACATGATAAATTCCTTCAATTATCCTGTCAAAGGGTATGCCCATTTTAAACCCTGCCCCCACTTTTTATTAATGTGTTTTAGAATCATGCTACATAAACAGTGGCCCTCAGCAGCAGCATGGGTGTCACCTCAGGGTCTGCATTAAAAATGCAGATTCCTAAGAATCTACCAGATTCTTACTCAGAATCTATCTTTTTTTTGGGTGAGGGGGAAGATGGCACATTGCTGGGGATCAAACACAGAGCCTCATATATGCTGGGCAAGCACTTTACCACTGAGCTACATCTCTAGCACTCAGAATGTACTTTTTGGGGGAATTGTTTTTTAATATGGAATCTTACCACATTGCCCAGACTGGCCTCAAACTTCTGGGTTCAACTGATCTTCCTGAAATGATTGATACCATTCTTGGCTTCTCTTTATGATGTCTGCTTTTATTCCTACAAGTCATGCTGTACTGAAATTTTCCTAAAGAGATATTTGCCTAAAGAGTACCTATACCACCATTTCCTCTAGATGTGTATATTAATTACAAAATCCTTTCATGCCATTCCCTTTGCTCTCCTCTCATTTCTACTCTATGTACAGGTCACTATCAGTTTGTTTGACTTTAGATCCTTCATTCTTCCTTCATTCATTCTTCCTGGTTCCCTATTCTGAAATTTCAGTCACCAATCATTACTCAGATGTGGTCATTATCATGTTAAAACAGAATAGACATTTAAACTATCTACTAACCCTGAAATTCTTGAACATTTAAAAATATTATAGCCTAAACTGGACATATATGTTAACACCATCTGGAATATATTCTTTAAATCATAGATATAATATACTAAAATCTAAGTTTCTGATTTAAAGTTCCATCTGTTTTTTTTAAAAGATTAAATTTTGTCATTGAATTTACTACTTGCAATTTATATGCTATGGTTTGAATGTGTCCCCTGCAAAATTCATGTTGAAACCTAATCCCCAGTGCATGAATATTAAAAGGTGGGGCTTTGGGAGGCGATTAGGTCATAAAAGCTTCTGCCCTCGCAAATGGCACTAATGTCTTATAAGAGAGGGTTCAAACTGAGTTCACCTTTATTGCCCTTGACCACCTGAGGACCTACAACAAGGTACCATCTTGAAAGTAGAGAGCAGCCCTCACCAGACACTGAACCTATCAGCACTTTGATCTTGGATCTTCCCAGTCTTCAGAACTGTGAGAAATACATTTCTATTATTTATAAATCACTTAGTCTAAGTATTATTTTTAATTTCAGCACACATGGACTAAGACAATATGTAATTACTTACGTTGTTCTTCTAAAGTCTTTTTGAAGTGTAGGGTATTCTGGCATCTTTCTGATATCTTCCCAGTCTTTATCTTACCAAAAAAAAAAAAAACTGGTATTATTATAGAAAACATTAATTTCAATGAAAGTTTCTTAGTGCTTTTAGTTTAAATTATACATAAAAATACTTTCTCAAATGGCAGAGAGCCTGCCTAACAAGCCTGAGGCCCTGAGTTCAACCTCCAGTACTGCCAAAAAAAAAACTTTCAATATGCTTTGAAAAGGAAAATAAATTACCTGCAGGAAACCCCATAACACTAAATATCCGATCTAGTTGATCGTGATGAAAAGGATTGCTTGTTTTTATATCTTCTTGACGACAGTGAAAAATAGGTTCAGAAGTCAACAATTCAGCAAATATGCAACCTATGGCCCATATATCTATGAAGGAAAAAAACCAAGTTTTTGCACAAATGTATTACTTAAGTATATAATTCCAACAAACACACATACAAAAATACTTTTCTTTTTTTATTCCTCCCCTTCTTCCCCACAAAAACACTTTTTAGTAAAGCAATATAAAAAGCACAATGAGTATAGGAAGAAAATGTATATACTACATATGTGAAATGCAATGGCTGTATCATCATTTAACAGACTTGAAGTCCGATAAAAACATTTACTTATACATTTCCAGATGAGGATAAACTTAGGAAGAAACTGAATTTGACAAGCAATGAATTCCTTCTTTTTCTATCCTTTTTTGTTTTGAGACAAGATCTTGCTATGTAGCCCAGGCTGCACAATCCTCCTGCTGCAGCCTCCAAAATTGGGATTATAGGAGTGAAGCACCATGCCTGGCACAATGAATTCTCTAGATTTAGGCAAAAACTGTTTCTAACTACTATTAATAATTTAATCACTAAAGCATTCATTTGATAATCTAATACAAAGCATAACAGTCAGATCTTATAGAATGAAGCAATATTAGATGTAATGATTTAATTCCTTTTTATCAATTAAGTGCATGAGAGCAATGTATGTTTTGAGTATAGACAGATAGTAAAAAGACTTGGAAAAACTCAACTGTTTTCTAAAAGACTACCAGCTCAGTTTTTTTTTTTTAAAACAAATTATAAGGTCTAGAAGCTGATAAATAATACAAGTTTATATAGGAACTACTGAACAGCAATAGAGATAGATCTTACCTAAACACATTCATTTAGTTGCTACCTTGCAGGACAAAGTCAGGAATCTTTAAAAGTTTTATTAGGGGCTGGAAAATGTAGTTCAATGGTAAGTTGCTTGCCTAGCGTGCACAAGACCCTAGGTTCTGTGCACCTCAAAAGAAATTTTAGGGAGATGAGGAAGGATGATCAAGTAGGTGAATCTAATTAAGATACATTGTAGGCATGCATGTAACTGTCACAATGAAACCACCTGTTTAACTAATATATGCTAATAAAAATTTTTTTAAAAAATTTTAAACTAAAGTCAAGATTATTTTACTGGGTTTTATATATTGAAAGAGACTATTTTATATTCTTAAACTATATTATATTTGCAATGTTTTACCAAATGTATTAATCAACTTTTGTAACGTGTATATTCATATTTGTTCATTTAAATAAATGCCATTTAGTAAGTTTTTGTTGGTTGGTTTTTTGGTGGGACTGAAGTTTGAACTTAGTGCTTCATGCTTGCAAAGCAGGAGCTCTACCACTCGAGTCATACTTCCAGTCAATTTTTGCTCTGGTTATTTCAGAGATAGATAGCATCTCTTGCACTATTTGTCTGGGCTGGCTTTGAACTGCCATCCTTTTAATACCAGCATCCCAAGTAGCTAGGATTACAGGCCTGAGCCATCAGTGCCCAGCTTAGTAAGTATTTTTTTATAAAAGAAAAGTTAATAATGCTAGAATATGGTATAACATAGAGAGGTATAAAAGTTATGTTGATCACATTCTGTAGATAAACTAAATAAGAGCTTAATTATATCCATTAACTAAAATAATTATCTATGTGTTCTTCTGTAAAAACAAATCACCAAATGGAAAAAAAATTATAGTAATGCCTCTTATCTGACCCCATTCAGGAGTGGTTTCCTTCCACATAAGTTAGCCTTCTGGATAATGGGAACATAATCCCTTCAGTAACAATTTTTATTGCACCATTACTTGTCATCTTTAAAGGCTATATGACATAATTTAATCTTCCTTAATGACACAGTCAAGATCATCATCATCATCATGAACACTCATCACTCCAAAGTAGAGTAATAATACTGTTTGATGTGTTAACTTTTTAATCCTTTTCTGTCTTCCAAATCATGTTGGCTGTCACTCTTACCCCTACAGGTCCCATCTCTTTTCCTTCAGGCTGGCTGTCTACTATACAGTCAACTGGGAGTACTACTGTGTACTGCTGGCCATGCCAATTCCTGGTTTGTCCTTTATTCAAAGGATAGGAGCCAGAATCTAGATTTCCCTGTGAACCACTAACATAAAGAACCTCAAAACAAACAATGATGACAACAACAACAACAACAACAAACCAAAATCTACTGTGGTCATTGACTCATATGATTCTGCAATTCCAAATGGCCATCTGGCTCCTATATCATCTATATCCACTTCTCAGGTTTCTTTTCTTAACCAGTGATTTGGCCTACACACACACACAGACACACACAGACACACACAGACACACACACACACACAGACACACACACACACACACACACACACACACACACACACACACACACACACACACACACACACACACACACACACACACACACCCTAGTGCCACTTCCTCAACTAAATGTCACTCAACAGACCTTCACTGAGAGTCAAATAACCAAACTCTCTTTTACCTATGCTTTGAATAGAAATACTCATTTCGGACATAACCTAGATAAAAAGAAGAGTGAGCCAGGCACTGGTGGCCCACCTGTAATCCTAGGTACTCAGGAGGCAGAGATCAGGAGGATCATGGTTTGAGGCCAGTCTGGGCAAAGAGTTCTTGAGACCCTATCTCAAAAATTCCTGACACGAAAAAGGGCTGGCAGAGTGGCTCCAGGGGTAGACTGCCTGCTTAGCAAGCCCTGAGTTCAAACCTCAGTACAGCCCCCCCCAAAAAAAAGTGAAAGAAAAGAGAATGAGTGGATATGTATGTACTCATATATGTCTGCTATGAATATATTTCAAGCACAAAGATAACTAATTTGGGGGTTATACTTTTTCTGTTTTAACTTTTTTCCTAACTTCTATGTGAATGGATAATTGGAACTTGACTAAAATAAAAAATTGGTGATTACAGTTGTTTTTAGTATTCTGAAATAGGGTTCACTATGTAGCCCAGGCTAGCCTCAAACTCATTAACGATAATCCTGCCTCAACCTCCCAAGTATTGAGACTACAGGCGTGCACCACTGTGCCTGACTAGTAATTATATCTTCACCTTTAAGTGGCAAAGTAAATAAGTAAGTTGCAAGATGGTTAAAATTCAATTTCAGTTCTTACTCTTAGAAAATAAGAAATATAGTTGGTTTTTTATTCACATCCAATTACTTTATTTCTAAAAAACCACATCCATTTTCATCTCAACAACAGAGAAGCTGATCAAAAAATAATCCTAAAACTGTGCTTCTCAAAGTGTGGATTCTCGAAGTGTTGAATTTACCCAAGAATGCAAGTTAAAAGTGGGCCTTAGTATGGACTTGCTATATAAGAAGCTTTGAGAGTGAAACTGACCTCGGTGGAGAATCATTTGTTTAACAGAAAGTTTTGGCCTTTTCTTAATGGAAATGTCTTTTTAGATAGACTCTACTAGCTGCAGGAGAGAGCCAGAGGCATATGGATTTCTACTGATCCTATGTCCTTTACTCCCTCCCATAACCTGGGTTATCCACCATCCAGCCTTTCTAAGGCACTACTTGTTATTTCTAAGTAACACTTCTCCCTTCTCTGGCTTATTTTTGCTTTCTATCCTCTGGTGCCTTCTGAGACTGTCTAAGGTATCTGTTCCCAACAGCTGGTAATAGAAAAGGCAAACTTATAATTCGAATTCTCAAAACACAACCCTATAGTAAAAGTCATTTATTGGAATGTTAATAGTGTCATGCCCTGATTTTAGCTCCTCATTCTTGGGGCCACTCCATTCCTTTCAATTGCTTCCTATAGTTCTTTCTCTACCCTCCACAAACAGCTGCTACTGTCCTCTGCTGATAGTGTGGTGTTTTCAGCCTTTGATCTGCAGCCTTAGTACAGGCTCAACTGCTTGGACAAGGGTCTAATGACATTCTCACATTCCTTTACTGCCAAATACATACTGGTTTTCCCTCCAGTTCTGAGACTATTCAGAAGCCTCCTCACTAATTTAACAAAAATATTTAGAAGTATCTATGAAACATTTAAAATGTTCCAGCACTGTGCTAGTCTCAGTCCCTGGGACTAAAAACAAATGCCATCCCAGGCTGCCTTAACCAAGCAACTCTCACTTCTACACCACCAGGTCTCTACTACGGCCAATGTTCTGAAATTTGTGGCTTGAACCACAGCTTTATACCAATCATCTTAGAAATAGTCCCACTCAAATATTTCGAAAGCTGATCACTGTCTATATTATAAGTACATTATGAAGCTACTGCAGCATTAACCTTTTATGCTAACGACAGAGAGCTGACTCTCCATAATGAAATGCCACAACTCAACACATCTACATGATTTACGACTATCATCTCTATAATCTTTACCCTATTCATTATCTTCCAGTTAAAAATAAAAGTATACAATTTTTTACCTAACCCTGCACCTAAAAATATCAAATCAATAAAACAAGATAACTCTTGAGAGAAAAAATGAACGAAAATTTATCTGCCTCTTTCATTACCCCTACTATAATAGGACTTCCTATTATTACCTTAGTAGTTCTCTTCCCAAGTATTATACTCTCAACCCCAAACCAACTAATCAGTAACCGATTAACCTCCCTCCAACAATGAATAATTCAACTAATTACTAAGCAAATAATAATAAAGCATAATTACTAAGCAAATAATAAGCATATAATAATAATAATAATAAAGGATGTGCCTGATCTTTAATATTAATTTCACTTATTATTTTCATTGGGTCACCTAACCTACTTGGACTATTCCCATACTCCTTTACTCCAACAACCCAACTATCAATAAACCTAGGAATAGCTATTCTGCTCTGAGCAGGAGCTGTAATCTTAGGCTTCCGCCACAAAACAAAATCATCCCTGGTCCACTTCTTACCACAAGGAACCCCAATCCTCCTAATCCCCATACTAATTATTATCAAAACCATTAGCCTATTTATTCAACCAATGGCACTAGCCATTCGATTAACAGCTAACATTACAGCAGGTCACCTGCTAATTCACCTTATTAGCAGCGCTACACTAGCACT